GACATTTATGTGGTTTTCAATCTTTTACTACTAAAAACAATGCTGTCATGAGTATCCTAGTATGTCTTTGTATACATGTAAAACATATAAAGGATAAGTTTCTAGAAGTAAAGATGCTGAGCAGAAAGGTTTGTGCATTTTAAATGTTGATGGATGTTGACAAATTGTTCTAAGAGATCGAATCAATTTATATTCCACTAATGTTTGAGAATACTATTTCTTTCTCTACATATTTTTGCCAAACTATACATTATTAAATTAATTGATACTTGCCAATACAATTGAAAATACTATTTTGTAGCTTTAAACTATATTTATTTTATTATATGAGCAAGGGTCAACATATTCCATATGTTTAGATTAAAAATCAGCTGTATTTTCTTTTCTGTAGACTACTTTTCATGGTTTATGAACATTTGTTACTAAATCGTTAGTATTTTTTTTTAATATTAATTTATAGGAACTCTATATACTAGAGAAAACAGCTCTTTGTCATTTAAATTGAAAATACAATGCTTTCTGCATGTTTACTTTCTTTTGACTTTATTTATGGGGTTCTTCTTTCCTATACAAAAATATTTAATTTTTACATAATCAAATTTATCAATCTTTTCTTTTAGAGCTTCTGGTTTTCAGTCATGCTTAGAAAGGGCTTTCCTACTCTGATTATCAAAAGTTCTGTGTTTTCTTTCAAATTTTATGATTTTAATTTTTTCACTTAAATATTTGGTCCAACTGGAATTTATTTTGGAATAAGTGTGAGGGGATTAACTTTAATCTTCAGATGGCTTCACAGTTGTTTTATCGCCATTTCTTGAATAATACATTTTACCTTATTTGAAATCTCACATTTTACTATATTTTCACATAAATAGAGGGTATTTCTAGACTTTCTATGCTGTGCCATTATTGTTAAGAGCCCTTTTATGTAAAAGAAGAACATAAAATTTTCTGGTTCAACATTACCAACTTCATGCCCAATTCATGGGCTCGGTACTGGGGATGAGATGGAGGAGGTAGCTTGTATCCACTTCGCCGATCTGGCATAAACCTTTGTTGCACCAACTGTGCATACAGACATTTAGTGAAGGTAATCTGGACATTGGAACACAAAAGACATGAGTCTTTTCTTGAAATAAAAATCTGATTATCATTTCATAGTTAATAACAATAATTTCATTTATGATCTTCATATCCATGTGAAAAGCAAAGAAGTTCCAAACAATTCACTATCTATATTTCTTAGTACCAGCTTTATTGCAATATAATTCACATACCATAAAATTTAATTGCATCATCTACTTTTTAGTTATCATTAATGGAATTCTTATCGTTAGTTACATCATGATAATTTTGATGAATAGAAGATAAAAAGTAATTCTTAATTCTCTGAAAGAAGAGAAATGTTTTATGTTAAGAAGAAATTTTTTATTCAAACAGGAAAGAATATGGCCAGAAATAGCTAGGAAACATGGAGTTATAAAATAGGGAGTCAGGTCTCTTGAAATCTTCCTTCACTGGATGGAAGAAAAGAGAAAAATGTATATCAACTTGCTATGAGGAAACAGAATATTTCCAATTTTTTCTAGTGGACAATTAAAATAACCTACAACTCTCCAGTCAGGGAAACTAAATGACCAAGGGAGATATCTTACCGATGTCATTATTCGTGTTTCAGGCAAGAATGTCTTGAAAACACGACAGGCTCGCAGGTCAATGGGGTCCCGTAGGTAAAATGCCTGGACTCCTGCAGCCACCAATCTGGGGCGCTGCTTTAGCACTGCTACAATGCCAGCTGGAAGGAAGCAGTGTGCTCGATGAAGGGAGGCTTGAATTTTTTCTGGGTATCTGTGGCAGGTAAAATAATTACTTTTACTTTATAATATGTAAAAACCTAGAATTCTTATATTATTTACTTCCCCCTTAACATTTTATCCTATCTTGGTTCATTAAAGGTGAGATGTAGAGAGTGACAAGAGAGGTGAAGAGAAAGGTACTGTATGTACTAAAAGACTGCAGGAAAGAAAACAGTAAAAGAAAAAGCGAGAAGAAATGGGAAATTTAAAAAAGGGATTAAGGTGGTTCAACAAAAAACAAAACGAAAATTTACTATACTTTGGAATAGGATAAAGTCTGAGTTTATTCTTCTAAAAAAAACGGTACAAAGTATACTGAAACAAAGCTAAAAGATTTTGAATATTGTTAAGATCTGAATAGTGCTAAATATTTAATAGGTACTCAAATTTGAATGCTTGAGCTAATATGTTATCAGGCTAAGGCCTTCTCTTCTGAATAGATGCTAAAGTGCTCCACATAGGCCAAAGAAGCCCATATATAACTCAAGGACCATAGAAAAAACCTGAGCACATTGTGCTCCCTTAAGTTTTCATTTATAAAGGTTTCAAAATTTTTATCTATGGATATAGATAATATCTAATAACCACAATATCTAAGGTAAATAAATGCAAAAATATTGAGATTGGATTATAACACTTTTAAATGAGAATTAAAAGACATATCTGTTTTTTGATTTTAAAATACATAATTTGTTAGTCAATTTCATGATGGATGAAGACAGAATGAAAATTAGCATTAATATAGGTGAAAGAAATTCTACATTCAATGGAAGACTTGAGCTGCACTAAAGCAAAAGGCTCCTCAATTAGCAATGAAAGTAGTATTTGTTTTTTACCCTCTGATGCGCCTATTCACAGCAGCTTGGATAGATTCTGAAGCCAAAATTTTTTCAGGGTGTGTTGAGATTATATTCAGTGCTTGTGGGATTGTTGGGGGTACGGTGGGTAACCAGGATACTGCTTCAGATTTTCTTGGTGCAGGAATAATGCACAACTTCCCCTGGTAGAAAAACACCTACAAAATGATACATTTTATTTATTTTTTATTTTTGGCTCTCAGAAGCTTTTATTTATTTACTTACTTACTTACTTATTTACAACCTATAGGTAACATCATAAAATCAATGCAATCAAAATCCCCACAGGTTTTTTTTTATTAAGTTTATTGGGGTAACACTGGTTAATACAATTATATAATTTTCAGGTGTACATTATAATTTGACATCTGTATAGTCTATTGTGTGTCAAAATGATACGTTTTAATTTTCATATTAGGCACTGATAAATTCTAGGTACATATGAAAAATGTTGCAACATGATTTAATCTCTGTAAATTTTCCAAACTTGGGTATACTTACCCTATTGGCACTATTATCAGGATCCAACCATTTAGGGAGAAAATCAGCAGCTTCTATTAACAAGAATTCACCATCATTGTCTTCAATCCTAATGCAAAAGAAGTTCTAGTTTTACATTCAAATAGCACATAGCAAAAACAGATTTATTGTAATATTTTCTTCCATTCATCTTAGTAAATACCTGCGTATGTACCATGTATAGATTGCTATAATAAAGCAAATGTTTATGATACCGTAAGTACTTAAGGAGACTATAAGATTGTATGAAGGAGTTAGAGAGAAAAGTACACAAATAACAGTAAACAAAAACATGAAAAATATACACAGTACTATAGAGTTTCAAAAGAAAAAAATCACATATAGCAAAAATTAGTAAAGTCTTTATGGAAGAGGAGTTATTTGGGCCTTGAAGGAGAATTTTGTTTTGCATTATTTTTCTTAAATTTAAATTTCTGAATAGATAATAAAGTCAAATAGTTAAAAAAAATTTTAAATACATAAAAAGTTACACAATGAAAAATGTTCTTCCTACTTTTGTCCCTATGTGCCCAGCTCCTACCCCATATGGCTAATGGGAATATAAATTCTTATTTTCTCCTCTTGTCACACAAAAGGTAACATATTATATACACTGCTTTTTTTCACTTTCAATGGGTAGAAATGTAGGGAGAAAAGGAAAGATGTTCTTGGGAGAGGGAAAAACAAGCAAAACCATGGAGGTGGCAACTTAAAGTGGATATTTGGAGAATGACAACTAGTAAAGAACAAGACTAGAGAAGCACAGTTATATAACTTTGTGACAAGCTTTAAATGTTGGCAGAATCAATGTGAATGAGCTTAGTTTTATACACAAAAAGAATGAAAGGTTTTAGAGTAGGGTAGTTAAACGGTTAGAGCTCTACTGTAGGAATATTAACTCAGAGACAAAGAGGAAGACCTTCTTTCTTTTTCTAATTTTTTAAAATTTACAAGACAGTAGATGCCTATTATTTTTAAGAGCTTTTATAGGGCTGGTGTGTAGGTATGAACCATCACTATATAAACATCAGAATCAGCATACAAAAGGTATTGCCCTCTCCTTATTATACTTGTTAAGACAGAAACTAATATTTTTGTGTTTGTTCATTTAAAATTCTATCATTTATTAAGAAATTATTGGTAATTATTTTCAGGTGTGGTAACACCAAAAAGTCTTTAAAATAAGAGTTCTTACCACTTAGATTTACATCCTAAAGTATTTAAAGATTAAATGGCAAAGTATTGGAGATGTACTTTGAAATAATCTTGCTATGTGATGGGGAAGTAGGGGGTGGGTATAGATAAATAAGAATGACCATGAGTTGATCATTGTTGAAGCTGGGTGATAGGTATACATGGTTTCATTTTCTCTACTTTTATATATGTTTGAAATTCCGATATAAGTTTTCAAAGCTGTTGTTTTTCTTTTTTTTCTGCTGGGGAAGAGGTTGGGTGTGTAGAAAAAGATCAGAATTTGGGGGCTAACTAGGGAAACTAGGACAACATATGGTAAGTGGGTGAAATGCCCTCTGCTGGCAAAATTTAGTAATTACAGAGAACTATTAGTCCCATTTTTAAAACTGAATTAGAATTTATTTTGCTCCTAAATAACTGTTCACTGATTTCACTTTAAATTTCTTCTGTATATTATTCTTCAAAAACAAATATAGCAGTGGTGAAATAGAGTAAAACATAGTAAAGAAATCTGTGAAATATGTGTGTGTATGGAATTTCCTTTTACTCCACAAGAAATTTGATTATGATTACTTCTGAGAAGTCAGGGCAGTACACTCTGTATTGTCTGAATTTTGTTTACCATGTGTATTTGTTTTTTCATAATGAGAATTTAAAAAAAGAAAAGTTAAAACAAGCTGCTTTTGTTTGAAATTTTTTGGAAATTGAACTCTCCAATACTTTCATTTTTCCTCAAGAAAAAGAAGTCACAAGAAAAAGAAAACACAGAAGTCACTTAAAGTCTATGTCCCAAATCTGTACAATTTCCACCAGACTGCAGAAAAAAATTATTAAATAGATAAAAATGTCAAGAATAGAATTCCTTTAGAATTATTAAAATAACTATAATACCTTGCTACCAATTCTGGAAATTCTTTCGTAATTTGCTTTACTACATAAACAATAAACCATTCATCCTCAATGTTATCCCCAAACTTTGTCATGCCAAATATATGAGCAGGAACATCATCTAAAAATAAGAGAAAGGCAATCACATATACAAATAAATTTGTCAGTGTAAATAAAAATACAAGTAATAATTCAATTAAATAAACATTCAGTGACTATGTTCTAAGTATTATACTGGGAACTGGGGTTACAATAAAAAAAAAGATACAAGAAGCCTACTCTTGAGTAGCTGAGAATCTACACAACAGGAGATAGACAACTAGGCCATCTCAAAACACGATGATATACAGAGCTATGCACTGAGGACTATGTGAACATCAAGGATGTGATAGCTGAGCTATATTCATCTGGAGGATTGACCAGAAATAGGCTTTCTAGAAAGAAAGAATAGTATGTGCAAAGAGACATGACAGTCAATAGAGTTTTCTAGGAATATCAAGAAGAGAAATTTGGAAGGAGTAGAATTCAAACAGGTACATTATCCAAAAATATGTAGAAATTAAACAATATACTCTTAAACAACCAATGGGTCAAAGAAGAAGTCACAAGAGAAATTAGAAAATATCTTGAGAAAAATAAAAACAAAAACAAAACATACCAAAACTTATGTGATACAGTGAAAGCAGTGCTAAAAGGAAACTTTATAGTTACAAAAGATCTCTTACCAACCACCTAACTTTACATCTGAAGAACCTAGAAAAAGAATAAACTAAATGCAAAGCTAGTAGAAAGAAAAAAATAATGAAGATTTAAGCAGAGATAAAAGAAGTAGAAAACAGAAAAACAGAAAACAGAAAAACAGAACAAAATTAACTAAATTGAATTGGTTTGTTTAGAAGATCAACAAAATTGACAAAACACTGGAATAACTAAGAAAAAAGAGAGAAAACTCAACAAAAATCAGAAATGATTTTAGACTATTATTTCTAGTCTACAGAAACAGAAAAGACTATAAGAGCATACTGTGAACAATTATACACCAACAAATTGGATAACCTAGAAGAAATGGGAAAATTCCTAGAAACATACAACCTATCAAGACTGGACTGAGAATAGAAAATTTGAACAAACCTATAACTAGTAAGGAAATTCAATCAGTAATCAAAATTTCTCAACAACAAAAAAAAGCCCAGAACCAGATGATTCCACTGGAGAATTCTACCAACTATTTAAAGAGAACTAACTTGACACTCCTCAAACTCGTACAAAAAAAACTGAAGAGGAAGGAACACTCCCAAACTCATTTTATGAGGCCAGCATTACCCTAATACAAAAGCCAGACAAAGTCAATACAAGAAAACTAGGACCAATATCCCTGATGAATATTGATGCAGAAATCCAATGTTAGCAAATTGAGGCTCCAGAGGTGGGGAATAAGCAGCAAGATGGTTTACATCTTAAATGGACAAGTGTTGGATAGCTGGCATCACTCCCCATGGAGATTATCTTCAGTAACAGATTTCTTCGGGAGAACAGCTGAGTTCATGGTTTTGTTTTTCAAAACTGTTTCAGCAAGATGTGAAAAAGAGGCTACAGAAACTCATCTGATTCCAGATATGATAATGGAAGAAGGCCCCCAGGAACCCACCCCCTAGTAGTATGGGTCAAATTAATCATCTGTGTGGTCCTAATCCTCCTCCAATGGCTAAAACGCAAAAACTCTGAATTTGAAGAAAAATAAAAGCCTGCGTATTTAGTAAAAAAAAACAACTAGCAAACTGAATTCAATAACACATTAAAAGGATTGTACACCATGACCATGTAGGATTTATTTCTGAAATGCAAGGATAGTACAACATATGAAAATCAATCAATGCAATATACCACATTAACAGAATGAAAGGCAAATAAATGCATTATGGAGCGTCTCAAGAGGTGCCATGGCAAAAACCAACCAACCAACCAACCAACCAAACAAACAAACAAAAAAACAGGGGTGAAGGGGAAGAGCCCAATCAACTCTTCTTCCCATCCCAGATCTCCCAAGTTTCTGAAACTAGAGAAGCTCCCATTAGAGTATCTATTTCTATCTACCTTATATATTAAACTTCAATTTGAACTTCATCCAAAAGTAATGGGGAACTGTTCAAGGATGTTAGGCAAGAGAGTGCCATGATCAAATTTGTGTTTTTCAAAGGTAAATTTAATAGTGTGAGGAACTGGAGACATTAACACCAGAGAGGTTAGTTATGTGACTATTATAATCTTCCAGATAAAGTAATATAGAGGGCCTAACTTGCAGCCAAACAGATGTAGAGAAGGAGTCACATTTTAGAAGTAATCACACCAGGATTTAGTACCTGAATGAACATGGTAAAGTGAGAAGTTGAGTATGATTCTGAATTACTGGCTTGGACATAACTGGGTAGATGGCAATGACATTTAGCAAGATGAGAAAACAAGGAGTAAAAATTATTTTCTAGGAAAAAGATAAGAGTTGGTTTTGGATATCCTGCACTAACGTGACAGTGTTCTTGCCAATAACTATCACATGTATTTCAGTGTACAGGTGTTCAATAAAATTAACAGTAGAGAAGACATTTGGCAACTGTTAGCCAAAAGATAACAGATAAGCACTAGATTGAAAGCCAAACAGATGGTATCACAAGATGCCAGGCTCCTTATCCAAAATAAGAGCTCACATAAGTCACTACATGAGTAGAGTCTTGGTCACCTATCCATGTTTATTTCTTTAGTAAAGCTAAAGAAATCATAGGACAAAGTGACACACTTGGTCAGATCTCAACAACCAATGATACAGGTAAGACAGTAAAGGAACCTCAAAATGATTCTTAATGGCAAATAATGGTCATAAAGCCCAATTATTTCTTGTTATGAGCCAGGCAGATCCTCTCTTAGATTCCCACCAAATCAACTATGTAAAACAAGGCAGCCTACTGTACACATCATCAACAGAGAGAAATGAGAAGTAATAGCTACAGATGCCTTAACCTGTTTAATGCAGGTACCTAGAAACATTACAGCATGGAAAAGTAAAATTCAAAAGAATAGTCATGAGTTTCATAATGTTGATATACATTAGCTCCTAAGGTAATGACTATTAGAAAGTTTTCATCAATGTGAATGAAAAAAATTTAAGGGCTTAACTGAATATAGGCAAACATCATTAAAAAGTTCAGAATATAAACCTGACAACATTGAATAAGCTATGGACTATTTGTTATACATCACTGTTGTCAGAATGACATTAAAAGCCACATATATCAAATTAAAATAAGTAAAAGAGTCTTCCTTACCTTTTCCAGGTTTATATTTGAGATTGAAAGGCTGATTCTGCCAGATATAAGGGACTAGCATAGGTGCAAAGTGGGTCATTATTCTCTCAATATATTTTTGAAGAATCTCTTTGTGTTTTTCTGAGTCCCTTGGTTCATTTGGTATCAGGTACAGGTGGTATTCCACAGTGTCTTCCACTGTAGCAAGCTTCATATTTTCCTCCATTCTTCTTTGAAAACTACATTTAAAGTTTCAATAAAATAAACTATATAGAACAATGTAGACATATATCCCATTCCCTGAACTATTCTAGGTGATTCCATTAACATTGTTTTTCAAAATTCATTTATGCACATATCATGATTTTTACTTTGATCACGTACCAACTATAGTAATATTTAATGTTCTTTCAATGACATTTTTGTACTTTAAATTATGTTCTTTATACTTTAAAATTATGTTAAAGAAACTTTTGATTTAATTCAACAAATGGAAATCTAGCATCGCATTCCCAAATTAACTAATAATTATGTTAAAAAAAATAAAGAATTGCCCTTGTGGTTGCATTGGTGTGTGTAACACACTTTGAGAACACTGCACCAACATATTCTGTTTAAATACTATCAGAAGTCCTAGTTCTGTCACTAATTAGTTGTGCCATTTGGGACACTTCATTTTCTCTTTCTGGGGCTTTTTCTTTAATTGAAGAATTAGAATGTTATTCTACCGTCTCTAGAATCCTTCCCTGGTTTAAATTTTTATTATTTAAACACTCTTTAGAGCAATCTCCCTTACTATGTAGAATTTTAGTCTCTCACTTTTATAAACAGTATATGACATAAAGGAATTTAATACTGAAAAAAATTTCATGTCTTATCATCTCATCCCAAAACAATTTGCTCATGGTTCTCGATCCTACAGCTATTTGTCCTAAACCTGCCCCTTTTACAGATCTCAGGAGGACACAGCTCTGATATACTAAGAGGTGGCAGATACCTCTTTATTTTCCAATGGTTTCTCTTACAAACAAAAGTACTAGTTTATTATTGCTGCCAGGTGATGCGCGGTAAAGAAAGGCACTGCACTGGATAGCCCACTCTAAGGCAGCGGTTCGATTTTTATGTTTACTCGGCCTTCTAACGGACTAAGAGAAAGTCGAGAGGAATCTGCATCTTCTATCCAGACACCCATTCACCACAGGTTGTCCGAATCACGATTTGGCCTTTCAATACAGACAGACAATAATTATACCGATCTACCCATCCCATAATGCCAAGCACATGTTATGAAGAATCTAGCGTCAGAACTAAATTTAGTGACTTTGAGGTCACTCAAGCTTACTCTTCACTGTACAGATGAGAAAACCAGGGGCACGGAAAGAATCGACGTAGGCCCAGAGGCCTAATTTGGGTGTCTAGTGTTCTTCACTCAAGATAGGCTCCCTCCTTCCATCTGACAAAATCAAGCCAATTCCTCTTACGGTTCTAGGGCATCACCGACCCGTCTCCGCTGCTGCACCTTTCCTCCGCCGCCCCTTCCCACCGCGCGAGCTTGTCGGGAATTGTCAGCAGTCGCCAAAGTCTGTCCCAGACTCCGTCCAGACGCGTGCCTAGAACCTGAGGCCAGCCGAACCTCTGAGAGAAAGGCAGAAGCCCATTCAGCTCCAGAAACCCGCAGCGTCTTCACTGCTGTGCGTCGGCGGGAGCATTAGGCTGGTGCTCCGATGCCTTCGTCACTTCCGGCCCCGCGGGGAAGCGGGGAGGGTGGAGACCTGGAGAGGTGGGGGACCTGGGGAGGTGGCGGTCCGGAGTCTAGGCGACCGGGAGTGAGGGAGCCGGGCAGGAGCCGGCGGTAGGGCCAGGCCTGGAGGCCCCCACCCTGGCGTGCCCTCCCCGGCCGCAATTGAGAAAGAGGAGGATGATTTCCAGATACACTCGGAAGGCGGTGCCACAGAGCTCGGAGCTGTGAGTGCACTGCTCAACCATCCCGGCCGCGTACAGGGGAGGCCGAGGTGGGGCGCGGGTGCTCTGGGGACCCTCCATGACCAGTCCCTCGCTCCTTTCCTTTTCCAGGGCAGGAGGAAGAAAATTTTCTTTGGAATTTTCTCCTCCCAGCCTTGCCGGACGCTGCCCCTTCTACTTGCATCTCCAGGGTGTGTGACCAGTGCTATCCCAGGACTTGGTCCTTTTAGGCTGCATTTCCCGAACTGAGGGACTGGCTCTCCAGAGTCATTTGTAGTTTCTGCAGTGCTTCAGGCCCCACTGTCAATGGTCATTGACGACTCAAGAAGTTATTAATAGCTGAGTGCTACAATGAAGTTGAATATATGTAGTGCCAGGCACCGTGCAAAGCTGCTTACGTGTATTAATTAACTCATTTTATCCTATCAACAAGGATAGTAGATGGGGACTATTTTGCACATTCTACAGATAAAGATCCCAGTTTTAAAGATTTTAGCATGCCAAAGATTAACACACAAAGTGGTGGAGCTGAGGTACAAACCTGGTGTCAATCTGATTCTGAAGCCTGTAATCATAACCATTACACAAACTGCCTCTCCTTCTCTGCAATTAAGCATCATCCTTAAGGATCAATTTTGAGACTTTAGAGAGCAAATTTTTCTAGCTAAAAGACGCACCTTCCAACCCTAGTGCAGTAATGATAATTTAGCAGGTAATGATAATATCGCACATTTATTAATGCTTTACATTTTCAAAAAGACTTTCACATCATGATCCTTGTAACAACTCAGTAAGATGGGTATAATTATCTTCAGCTTTTCAGAAGATGAAATATCAGAAAAAGTTACACATCTTAAGATTATGTAACCAATATAACCAATATTGGGCTTTTAACTCTGAGTCTCCCACAGCCTCCCTTATTTTCTCCACTGAGCTATGTAATTTTAGAAACCATATGTTTGTTAGCATTAACTATACATGATAATACCAAGCTTGTTATTTTTCAGTCACATCTTGGTTTTTGGCTAGGGTCTTTTTTATTTATGTGACTTTTAGGCAAATTACTAAATTTTTGATCCTTCAGTTCTGTAATATAGGAATAAGAATTTATTTATAAGCATATTTATAATGATGGCAGAGTTTGACACATAGTTGGTCCTCAGAAAATAGTAATTTCCTTGTTCCTTCCTACCTTTACTTGGTACAATAGCCATATAAAGATAGGTCTGTGATCTCGTCTTGCCTTTCAGAAGCTTATTATCTACTAAGTGATAGGATATCTACACAATAGCAATTCAGATAAGCTTTTTAGAAACTAAGAACAGGAAAGTCATTTCCTAAAAAGCAAACAAAGCTTAGCTAAAAATCTGCTTTTATAATAAATTATGATCATTCTAAGAGTAAAAATTAATCTTTAATGGAAAAAAATTGGTGTTAATGTTAATTTGATACTCCCTAAAGATAACTCTCCCAAAAGATAATTCTCTAGAGGAGTCAGGGTGATCTGAATAATGAAGATAATGAAAATCATGGAGTCATGCATCTAAATGACCATAAATTAAAAGCAATTTTTCTTTAAGTGTTATAATAATTTGCTTTGAAGCAGTAACTTTAGTTTTCTTCCTAACACTTCCAAATTATACATGTTGAAGATTTTGGATTTTCAACATACAGCTTAACATTTTTAATGATAAATTTCAAATATAAATATATAGTAATCTAATGAATCACCCACATTCAATTGTTTATGAAATTTTAATATATTTGCTTCATCTATCTTTTTTTCAGCCTCTCTGTTCATCTGTGAAATAGGGAAGCAAAACCACAGACGCTGTCATTTTACCCCTATATACTTCAGTGTGCTGTTATCAAATTTAATATTTCTTTGGTATTATCTAATTGTTACTTCATAATCCTATTTCTTTGACAGACTAAAAAGTGCCTTAATTAAGTTTCTATTTTGTAGCTGGAATCCACATTTCTGACACTACACTGTCTCAAAGACAAGCTTTTGTTTGTAGGATCACTAAATGAGAGAAGCACAGGTAGCTCCACACAAGCCCATCCCCACCATTTGAGAAATAGTTTAAAGTACAAATTCCACTGACTGGGCCCCTAGCTTTGTATTACATACAAAAATGGTATAGTTCACTAAAATCTCAAACTATCCATTTGCTCCAAGAGGCCTGAGAACCAGACTACTTAGGTTTGAATCTTGGCTCCATTAATTACTAGCCATATGAACTTAATGCCTCTGTGCCTCAGTTTCCTTTCCTGTGAGATAAGAGAATTAAAGATTTATAATACACATTTGCATATTAAAGGCCCTGGGAAGGCCTCTTATAAAGAAACCTTTGTAACTTTGTTTAACCTATCACATTTTCTAAATTTATTTGACTACAGAATTTTGTGGAGAAGGAAAATCTGTAGGTGATTAGGACTGGAACATTTAATAATGGACCCCATAGTTTGTTCTCATGAACATGTTGAACTCTCTACAGCAGCACTGTGCAACAAAAATATAATACAAGCCACATGTAATTTTAAATTTTCAGGTAGTCACATTTAAAAAATTAAAACAGGTGAAATTAAATTTTTTACCTTTTTATTTTGAAATAATTATAGACTAACAGGAAGTTACAAAAATAGAACATAGAGACCCATGAACCCTTTACGTAGCTTCCCCCAAAGATATCTTATGTAACTGTAGTATAATTTCAAAGCCAGGAAAGTGACATTGGTACAATACTGTTAACTAGACCATAGACCTTATTCAGTTTTTATATCCACTTCTTATGTGTGTGTGTGTGTGTACACAGTTCTATACAATTTGGTCGCATTTGCAGATTTGCATAAACACCAGTACAATCAATATAAAGAGCTGTTTCATCACCATCAAGAAACGTTCTTGTATACCCCTTTCCAGTCACATCCGTGACTTTCTCCATCTCCTGATAGCCATTTCCAAAAAAAAAGTTTTGTCATTTGTAAAGGCTATATAAATGGAATCATATATTAGGTAACCTTTTGAAATTGTTTCTTTTAAACAAAGCATGATATCCTTGAAATCCATCTAACTTGTTGCATATATCAATAGTTCACTCCTTTTCATTGCTGGATCATATTCCATTGTGCGGCTATACCAGACTTTAACCATTCACCTGTCAAAGAACGTTTCAGTTGTTTCCAGTTTGTTTTTTTTTTTAATTATAGATAAAGATGCTGTACACATTTGATTTTTAATGTGAACATGTGTTTTTATTTCTCTGGGATCAATGTCCAAGATGCAATGGCTATGTCTTATGGTAAATGCATGTGTTTAGTTTTATAAGAAACTGAAACTATTCCAGAGTCACTGTACCATTTTATATTCCCACCAGCAACATCTGAGACATTCAGTTTCTCCATATCTTCACCTGTATTTTGTGTTATCACTGTATTTTATTTAAGCTGTTCTAATAAGTATATGGTTATACCTCATTGTATTTTCAATTTGCAGTGAAATTAATTTTAAGAATATTTTTAACTCAATATGTCTAAAACATCACTGTAATATATAATCAAGATAAAATAATTAATGAGATACTTGTACATTCTTATTCTACTAAGAGTTCAAAATCTTGTGTGTTTTACCCAAAGTGCATTTGTGCATCTCATTTCTGAGTAACCACATTTTAACTGCTAGTGGCTAGGGTACTGGACAGTGCATTTCCAGAGCAGCAAAAAGTAGGTGACTAACTCTGAGAAAAAATTTCTGAAAAGTATACATCTTTTTGTTAACTTTCTTTTTTATTTTCCACAGGAAAGGAATAACAAAAGATGCTCTTAATCATCATCCCCTTCCAGAGCAGCTGGATGAAATTTCCTCTACCAATGACAGCCATGAAAAAGACACAAGTTCCCAAAGGTAATAACACAAAATGTACTTGTTTGCTTATCATACCTGATAATGGCAAAAGTTTTGTTTTTTGGTTTAGGATTTGTATCAAGCCTTGTACTAATGAAACAAAAATTTTTATCATTTTTGGTACCATTCAGCTTTAGTCTAGAACAACTAATGGAAATAACATCATACTTATTTTTATAACCTTTGGAAAGTAGTATTATAAAGTAGTTAAAAGCATACTCAGGAAGAATCCAACAGATCTGATTTTTAATCCTGGTTCTGCCATTTATTAGCAGAGTAAAATTACACAAGTTACTTACCTGAGAATAGTATCTCTTAAAGGGTGTTGTGACTATAAATGAGATGAAATATGCAAAATTTGGCACGATGCTTGGCATATAATAAATGCTGAATAAATATTAATTGCATATATTATTTTAAGAAATAGAACACAGGCGACTATAATTTCAAAGAGGGTTCTGAGAAACAATGTGGTATCCTAGGAAAAATTAGAGCCATAAAACTTAGTTTCAAAACCTAGAACTAAATCTTAGATTCTTTGTCTTTAAATGGGGTTAATTAAGTTCTGTATCACTAAGTTGTTGTGAGGATAAAGTGGGATTAATATTTGTAAAAGTGCTTGGTAAACTGTGCAAATGCCATACAAGTTCAGATACTACCAATATTTCTGAAATGTCTTTAGTTGTCAAGGGTATATATTATAGGTGGAATGTTAAAGTATTCATTATAAACTGCGACTAGAATTATGTACAATGACTGCCATCAATTCTATAGGAATAAGGTAAGACTTTTCCATGATGCTTAAATTTCAAGTTCTTCATTTATTTTTGCTTCTGTGGATATATTTATACACATGCTTATCATCTACTAAATTATTGAGTAGTTAATGCTATAGAAACTTGAGGAAACATAAGAATTTTTCTGTTTTTCTCTCCTTCCAAATTGTGCATTTAGTGAGTCTGACATCACACAAGAATCACCTTTTACATCAGCTGACACTGGGAATTCAAGGTCTGCTTTTCCAAGTTATACAGGCACAGGGATCTCTACTGAAGGCAGCTCGGACTTCTCCTGGGGATATGGTGTGAGTTGTATGATATTGGTCTGATGGAGCACTTGGGATACTATTCTAGGAGTTAGGATTTGTCCATTTTGACAGTATTTTTCATTCTTTCTCTCTTCTACATCATTTCTTGACATTTTAATACTTAAATTTACCATATATTATAACAGTTATAAAGAAGCATCCATCTTCATTCTTTTCATATTTGCTTTGTTTTATAGATATAGTAGTTGATTATTTTAGAGATACTTAGTGTTTGACTTTAACAGTTGCAGGTTAGGTTGGATCTGGGCCCTGGATTTACTTCTTTTGCTGTGCTCAGTCCACTGAAGTATCTCTCCACCAATGTAACACTAATGTTACCTTGTTTAAAATGTTTTGAAAGTTTGTTAAGCCATTATCACTGGTAAAATGTTTATAATATATTGTTAAATGGAAATAAGCAAGCTAAAAAGAATATGAATAGTGTGGTTATAATTTTATTTTACATATCTTTTTGCTTATATATATTAGAAAAAGGGACTAAAGTATTTACCCAAAATGTTATTCAGTCATTGTTAATTGAGTGTTGAGATAGATTGATTTCTTCATTCATTTGTTTGTTTATGGGTATCTTCCATTGTAAAAAAAAAAAAATTTTTTATTATGGTGACATTGGTTAACAAAATCCAGTACATTTCAGGTGTATAATTCACCAGTAAGGCATGTATATACATTGCATTGTGTGTTCACCGCCCATAGTTAGATTTCTTCCTGTCACCACTATAAAATATTTTTTAAAAACCAACAACCTTAAAAGAAAATTTTAGAAAACAAATTTTATGCATGTCTATCATCTTGATGCAATAAGGATTTTTCTGTATCCTCTTTAAATATATATTTAATTTGGCCTAGCTATAATTGTGGTGTACATACAGTATTATGCTCTATATTTTTCCACTTATTATTTTGAAAGCACTTTTCCAAAACACTGACTTTATACAATATTGTTGTTAGCAACTACCTGCTTTCTTTACAAAAACCCTGCTAATTGTTAAAACTTATCAACGTCATGAATTATTTTCCAGTCATTTAAATTTGGATATATATATACTTTCCTTACATAGTTGAATGGTATATGTGCCTCCTGTTTTGTGGTCCAATTTTTCATTCACTGTTATTTCATATAGACATCTTTTACTATTTCCATACCTGTCAGTTTGAATAGTTATATGTAGTTATATAACATTTCCTTGTTTTAATGTATCATAATTGAGCTTTGCCTTATCATCCGATACTTGGATTTTCAGTTTTTCTTCATTCATTCAACAAATATTTATTGAGCACATTTATTGTCGGACACTGTATTTGGGGAATATGAGGTGTGTGAGATATGATTCAGTAGTCTAATAAGGAGGAATGACAGAAGCAAATAAACAAAGTAAGGTTTTAAGAGCTCCAAAGAAGATGACAAAGGTGCTGAAAAAGAACATTATAAAGGGGATTCACTTTAGGTAGAGTTATCAGGTAGATCTGGGACTTGAAGATTCAAGAGTTAACCATGTAAAGAGTGAGGAAAAGAGCTTTCCAGACAGGTAACCAGCAGCAGATGCAAAAGCCCTAAGGAAGAAAAGAGCCTTATGTTTCCAAGGAAGGTGTTTGGTACATTACTGGAACTAAAAAAGGTCAGGGTTATTGGAGGATAGGGTCCTAGTGGGAGCAAAGCACAAATGAGGTCGGAATGGTTGGCAGAACTAGATCATAATAGCCAGTATAGGCCATGGTAAAGAATTTAAATTTTATCCAAAGGGAATGAATGAATGAATTCGATGACTTATTGTGAGGTTTTAGTGTACTATGTATTTCCATCAGTTGTCTCTGTATTACAATTAGTAGATGCCAGGCACTATGCTAAGTATTTTCTATACTATATTATAATCTCTTTATAAATTATGATTGTCGCATAAATGTTTACTATTCTCTTGCTTTCCTTTGGTATTTATTGTGTAACAGATTTTTTAAAATATTTGAATATAACCATCTCACTATCAACCTTCGTTTCTTTACTAGTCAGGATTTTATCTTTAGCATAATGAAATATAATATTCTTCTTCATACCTTAACAGAATTTTGCATGTTTAGCTTTTTAACTCACCAGACTTATTTATAACATATGGTGTGAGGTATGAATTGTTCTTATGCTGTTGAACCTGATTTGTTTGAACCACTTTTCTATATTTGACTTAATATCATATGGTTTTCATGAGATTTTTTAAATCTTTAGGGCAAATCTACCAGTGTTCGTTAAACAACATACATTATTTAGTATTTGTGTACTCTTTATTCTTTCAGGTAAATATTATTTTCACTTCTATCAAATTTTATAAAGTATTCATCAGGGATTTAATTGGTATCGAATCATAACTTTACATTAAATTAGGGAAGGTGTAGAGAAAACTAAATTTTATTGAATATTTGGTAGATTCCAGGCACTGTGCTAAGGACTTTATATACATATTTCAATCATTTGTCATCTTAACTGAACTTAGTATTCTAGCCAGAAATATAATTCTTTTATTTAGATCTTCCTTTAGTCCTGTTTATCATTTTATTATTTACTTTGAGTAAATCTCTTGTAAGTTACAAGTGATATTAAAGTTGAATTTGCTATAGAATTCTACATTTTATTTACTTTTGAACTTAGTGTTTTTAAGCTATGACTGGTCTGTAGGAATATGGTTTTCTAATCCCAACTTAATGGCCGACTACTTTGCTAAATTTATTTATTATTTATAATCACTCTGGTGTTTATATTCTTAGGTTTAATTCCTTTGAAATAGCATTTTAAAATTCAGAATTAATATAATGATATGAAGGACGACTACTTTTTTACTCTAACTATGTCTATTATTTAAAATTGTATAGCCAACGATCATAAAAATAGTTCACCCAATTCTGTTCTATTCTAGTTTTATATGCTCTAGCTTGATTTAAAAAAATCAAGTAAGGTTTATTCTAGGAAAACAAAGATGGATAAATATCTGCAAATATCTTAATATGTTTAACATCAGTAATTCAAAGGAAAAAAATATGATCAAACCAATAGCTGCTGAAAAAGTTTGTGATAAAATTCAAAAGCCATTCCTTATAAAAATTCTCAGTAAGATAGGAGAAGGAAACCCCTAAAACCTGATAATGACTATTTGCCAGTTAAATAGTGAATACCACTTTAAATGGCAAACATTGCATTGTGTGTTTTAATTGAAAATAAAATTTTAATTGAAAATAAAATAAGGAACCAGACAGAAATTCCTTAACAAATTTAATTAATTTCTTTGCTAACTTTGTACATTTTAATCATTTTTATTTTTACATAGTTTGTCATTATACACTGTTCAGTGCCATTTGTTTTTTCACTTAAAAATATATTTTGAAGAATATCCATATTATTAAAAAATTCTTTGTTCTTAATTGGCTGCACAGCCATTGCTATTACCAAAAAAATGCTGCATTTATGCCCTGGACATATAATATACTACATAAATATGAATATATATGAGAGGATAAATTTCTAGAGGTGGAATTGCTGGTCAAAAGATATGTGCTTTTGTAATTTTGAAAGCTGTTACCAAGTAGAAGTTATTACCATCTGCAGTCTCACCAACAACATATGGAAGGGGCTGTTTTCCTACACCCTTAACCAGAACAGTGAATTATTGAAGTTTTTAATCTTTGCCAGACTTTTTTTTAAAAAAGCTATTCTGACCTCTATCATCAGTTTCGCTTGTTCTTGCTCTTCATATAAATAGAATCATATAGTATGTAATCTTTGTATCTGGTTTGTTTTGCTCAACAATGTTTAGAGAGTTCATACATGATGTTACACATATTTATAGTCTGTAAATTGCCTGTTTATATATCATATTCATTTATTCTTTGATCTGTTTATTGTTCTCATATTAATTAGTAGGAGTTCTTTATCTTTTAGATTAGGTGTGGGTATACAGTCTTTGTAAAGGGCAAGATAGTAAACATTTTAGGCTTTGCCAGCTCTGTCAGGACCCTCAAAACTCTGTCACTGTAATGAGAAGACAGCAATAGACAATGTGTAAATAAATAGGCATATTTCAATAAAACTTTATTTACAAAACAGGCTGTGGGCCAGATTTGTTTCACTGGCCAGTTTGCTGTTCTAGATACTTAACACAGAGACTGTAGATACCTACATTATATCCATTCTCCCTATAGAACTATAGAATTTTGGATATTGTACCTAGTTGAAAATTTATTTCCCAGCCTCTGTTATAGGTAGGGGTAGAATTGTACACAAAAGTCAGGAGATGGGGCTTTCTCGAATGCCATTTTTTTTTCATTTACCCTTTTCTCCTAATTACTGCTTGGAACATGGAACTATAGCAAAAAGTACAGCAGCCATCTTGGACCATCAAGCGTCACTGAGGATGGAAAAGATAGAAGATATTGAGTCCTTGATATCAGTGGAGCCATCATATCAGTTTTTCAATGCCTACCCCTAGACTAATATTTTTATGAGAAAAATAAACTTTTATCCTACTTAAGCCACTGTTATTGTTTTTGTTAGTAGTAACCAAATACAATTAATCTCTAATACACTCACCCTTTGTTAAATACATCACAAATATCTTTCTTGGTATGTGGCTTTTAATACTTCCACAATTTCACATTTAAGTCTTTAATCCACCTGGAATTATTTTTTGTACATAATATGTAGCAGGAACATAATTTTAATTTTTCCATATGGATAATGAATTGTTTCAGCATTATTTACTGACTAGTTCAGGATTTCCAAGCAGGGGCATTTTGGGTATTTTGGGTGTGGCTATTGTACAGAAATGTCTCATTGTAGCAGGGTGTTTAGTATTCATGATCCCTTCCTATTAAATACCTATAGTACCCCCTAGCCATTTTGATCACTAAAAATGCACACACACATTTCAGCTTCTGGTATAGAAGGTGTTATAATTTCCAGTAGAATTATTGCATCCTTCCCCACTGATCTGCTATGCTCCCTCTGCTTTAGATTGTTTTAAAAAATGAGAGAGTCTGTTCCTGGGCTCTCTAAACTGTTCTATCCTAAAATCATGCTAATACAACTGGTTTCAATTCAACTATAGCTTAATAATAATCCATAATATCTGGTAGGGAAGTCTTATTGTATTGTTCATAATTGACTTGGCCAATCCTTTTCATATATGTTAGAATTTAATTATTAAATTGCCTAGGTCAATTTGGGGAGAACTGCCATCTTTATGATGTTGAGTTCTTCTGTTCATGGATTTGATATATAAATATTTCCATTTAATATCAATTTCTTTAATATTTTTAATAATTTTTTCTAATTTTATCCATAAAAGTAATGTACATTTGTTGAAGAATTATTCCTAGGTACCATGCATGGTATAATGTTAAAAACTATATTTTTAATCTAGTTGTTGCTGCTATATAGATATAAAGTACCTATTTTTTTCAAAGAACTGGGTTCTAGGATAATGTTAGCTTCTGCATGATTTTTTAAGTTAGGAGCTGTCAGGCTTAGTTTCTGGTAAGGCCCTTCTTCCTGACTGGCTGTGTTCTTATATGGCCTTTCCCCCGGTCACGTGCTCAAGTAGAGAGAGATCTGGCATCTTTCCTTTTATAAGAAAGAACAGCAGTCCTATCAAATTAGGGCCTCACCCATATGACCTCATTTAACATAATTTTCTCCATAAATGTTCTATCTCCAATACAATCACATTGTGCATTAGAACTTCAATATATGAATTCATATGAATTTGGGGATGATACAATTCAATAACACATAACACAATTCACCACGAAGACATAAGAAGGCAAATATAAAAAAAAATCAACTTTCTATATACACTTAAATATTTTAAAGAAGCAATACCAATTTTTCAGAAAATAGGGAACAGTTCTTAACTCATTCTATGAGGCCAATATTACCCTGATACCGAAGTCAGATGAAGATAGTGCAAGAAGAGAAAACTACAAGTTAATATCCTTCCTGAAATTAGACACAAAACTAAATCATTAGCAAACCAAATCTAGCAACCTAAAGGGATTATTTGCCCTGACCAAGTGAAATTTATCCTAGTGAATGCACAGCTGGTTCAATGTTAGAAAATTAATTTAATACATCGTAGTAATGGAATTAAGGACAAAATGACATGATCATCTCAATAGACACAGAAAAAGCATTTGACAAAATCCAACACCCATGTATTAAAACTCTCAGAAAAAAACTGAAAATAAAGGGTAACTTCATCAACCTGACAAAGGATATCTAAAAAAACCTTCCAACTAATGATGTATGTAATGGGAAGACTGGATATTTTTCTCTTAAAATCAGGAACAATGTAAGGATGCCTACTCTTGCCACTTTTATTCAGCATTGCACTGGAGGTTCTAGTCATTGCAATAGCATGAAATTAAATTAAAGGCATCCATATTGGAAAGGAATAATTAAAACTATCTTCATTCACAGATGACATGATGCAGAAAATCCTATAAAATTCACACTTCTCTTACCCCTCTCCCAAATCTACTAGAACTAAGAAATGAGTTCAGGAAAGTCACAGTGTATCAGATCAATTTACAAAAATCAGTTGTAAATTAGATATATTTATATAATGGAATATTATTCAGCCATAAAAAGAAAAGAACTACTAATATGAGCTACACTATGGACGAACCTTGAAATCATGCTAAGTGAAAGAAGCCAGACATAAAAGGCCACATATTATATGATTCCATTTATATAAAATGTCCAGAAGAGCAAATCCATAGAGACATAAAATAGACTAGTGTTGGCCAGGGGCTGGTTGAAGAGAAGAATGGAGTGATTGCTAAGAGAGATAGGGTGATGGAAATGTTCTGGAATTAGATGGTGGTGATTGTTGCACAACTGTGAATATACTATACACCACTAGAAATATATACTTAAAACCACTGAGCTGCACATTTTAATGAATTTCATGGTATGTGAATTGTATATGTTTTAAAATCTATTGTATTTCTACACATTAGCAATGAGCAATCTGAAAATGAAAATTAAAACTAAATTCAATTTACGATAGAACAAAAAATTTTCTAGGGATAAATTTAGCAAAAGAAGAACAAGACTTGTATGCGGATAATTTCAAAACATTGCCGAGAAAAATGAAATATAAATAAATACAAGGCATTCCATGTTCCTGAATTGGAAGACAACTAAGAAGGCCTAAAACCCCTACATCTCCCTTCCTGTTCCTATCAATACTCTAATCCCATAAACTGAAGAAGAGAGAGTTTAGACTAGAAATATGGCTTGTTGGACACTATCTAGGTCAGTGGCTTTAAAACTTTTTAAACTGCCACTCACACTAAGACATGTAGTTGACAGTGCAACCCAGTGTACATACATAAAACAAGACAAATTTCCACAAAGTAATAACCTTTGTATGAGTGATCACTATGATATTTTACATTCTGTTCTGCTTTATTTCACTTTTTTGGCATTATTTCATAACATTTTAAATTGATTTCATGATCCACATGGTCCTAAAGTTTGAAAAACACTGGTAAGAGTGTTACCTGAGAAGTCCTAAGTGTTTACCTCTCCTGCTTTAATGATTGATATATGATACTAAGTCTAAAATTAGGGTCAAAATAACAAATTAAACGACAAAAGATATGAAAGAAATTGGTTAATAAGTAAAAAGACCTTTGAGATCTTCTCAGTTAAGAATATTTTATTTGCTAAATGTTTACTATTATTACTAGCATCTTCCTTTCTATCACTCAGAATAGAAGGCTTGGATTTATATTCACAGCCACCTCTCTTATCTAATAAGTAATCAAGTTCTGTGGACTCTGTCCTCACAATGTGTCTTGTATCTTTGTTTTCCTTTTCTTTTTTTTTTAAATAGAAATATAATTTACATATAACATTGTGTTAGTTTCAGGTATACAACAAAATGATTTCCTACATGTATATATTACAAAACAATCAGAGTTCTTGCTCTGTTTCAGTGGAGGACTGAAATATTGAAAAACTTTAAACTTTTTTATGAAAATAAAGGATTATGGATGCTAAGATTTTAAGTATAACTACTAAAATAATATAAATATAATGAATGACTTCCAAATTGATAGGGAGAATAAGGAAAACTCAGTGTAACAGAAGGAAAAGAGAATAAAAAGAGAAGACAAAGGTTAAATAAAAACAAAATAACTGGTAAATATAAGTCCAAATATTGCACATTATAATAATTATAAGTGGATAAAATTTACATATTAATACAAGATAGAGACTCTAAAATTGGATTTTAAAAATCCACCTACATGCTATTTAAAGAAATATGTCAAAAACATAAAGACACCCAAATGTTGAAAACTAAGGGATGAAAAAAGTTATAACAGGCAAATACCAGCAAAAGAAAGCTGACGTAAATAGAATGTAAGTAGATAAATATTTAACAGTAAAGAATAACAAAGTTCACTGAGACCAGGAAAGTCTCATTTCACTCTATCCCAGGAGCTTGAAAATAATAAGAAATTTAAAAATATATATTTGTGTTGTCTTTACAGTTAACCTTCATATCTACCTAGCAAGCCCTTTTTTTATTTGGTAGAAGCTAACTTTCATTCTTGAAGTGAAAATACATATTTCTCATACTTTTAAAAGAATGTATAACTTTTCTTACACCAGAATGTAAAAGTGCGCATAAATTCAGATGAAGTAGAGTGTAAGCAAAGAATCAGGTAACATGATAACATGATCAGGTTCATATTTTATAGCCATGCCTTTGGCTGTTGCTAAAAGGTAGATTACAGAGGGCAACGATATAACCTAAACTGTCAAGTGTAACATATATATAGGATGGATTATCTACCTTAAGCTCTAAAAAAAATGCTGGCATGGCACCAAGCAAACTATAATAAAATTAGCAATCATTATCTTTGAATGGTAGAATCATTGGTAATTTTTATTATTTCTTTATACTTTTCTGGATTTTTAAAAATGATTGTAATACAGTATTTTTATTAAAAGAAAACTTTACTTTAAAAAGTAGATATTTCTATAAATTTCTTTAAATAGAAATAGGGAACACATCTGAATACTCTAAGATCCAAAAACACTAATTTAACTTTTCTTTCATGGAAATTCAACAGTATTTTAAATGGACCAAATATTAAAAACAAAGCAAAATCTGATTGCTTTCAACCTCTATGATTTTTAACAGAGACTGAAGTTCACCTAAATATTTTGGGGTGTTATTTTCTTCTAGGAACTTGATCAAAATGCTACTGAAAAAGTCCAGGCAATGTTCACAGCCATTGACGAGCTCTTGTATGAGCAGAGGTTGAGTGTACATACTAAGAGTCTAAGAGAAGAGTGCCAACAGTGGACATGTAGTTTTCCTCATCTCAGGTATTAACACCCTAGGGTTAATTTGTGTTCATGGCTAATACTAAAATTTGAAAAGCAAATTTCCAAAAAAGCTTGTATTCTGAATCTTTATGAGCATGCGTTGAATGAATGTAAATAAGGCCGTGCAGTGGAAAGCCTCAGTTGAGAAAAAAACTCAAGTTGATGGAAGTTTCTCAGAGTTTTCATAACTACCAATATGTCACCCTAATTTCTATACCAGTATCTGAGATCTGTGTATTATAGATGTTCAAAGAGATCTTCTTTTGAACAAGGTCAGAAAATGTATTCTTATGGAAAGTTGAAAGTGGGCATAAGCTGTTAGGAATCTTCTCTTAGAAACTGTATTCCTGCATTTACTATGCATACTTAAAATTTATAAAGCTTCATGTTCTTAAGAATATAATTCATGGTTTTCACTAATTTGGCCTGGTTCTCAACCATTTTGGCTGATTTAACGAAGTTTATAGAGAATGGAGAGCAAATCACAAATATTTGCTCAGTTTCCTCAAAAAAATTTTTTGGAGGGTGCTATAGCTTTATATTTTCCATGTCTGTTCTATGGAAGAAAGATATAATAAGGCTCTGTATTCACATTTTCTCTTAAGAATTTTTTTTTTCTTTTTTCTTTTGCTTAAACAACAGAAATGTATTTCTCACAGTTCTGGAGGCTAAAAGTCTGAGATCAGAGTGCTAGCATAGTCAGGTTCTGGTAAGGGATCTCTTCCTGGCCTGGAGATGGCTACTTCCTTATTGTGTCCTCACATGACACAGAGAGAACTCTCGCATTATGAATTATTCTTAATCAGTATCAGGCTAAGTATATACTGGACTTCTATGTAGAGCCATCAGATTTGTTCCAAAAATATCTATGTTTTGTATGTATGTCAGGTGAAGGTGCTTAATTGTCTTTTTATGTTCATTTTGAAGGATTCTGGGTAAGCAGATAATTACTCCAAGTGAAGGTTATGAACTGTATCCTAGATCCCCTTCTGCTATTTCAGCTTCACATGAGGCAACCCTGTCTCAAGAAAGAGATTCTACTGTGTAAGTATTCTAATATGTAAGTATTTATGTATCCAAGTGTCCAAGTATTATAATCTACCAGTATGTGAAGGTATTAAAACATTTCTTCTTATTTACTGGTATCTAATAGAGCGCAGCAAACTCCATAAGACTGATCATAGTCTTTATATAATTTATATATTTATATAAATTTCAGATTTTTACAAACTAATGTCTCATTCTTTAATTCTCACTGACCAAAATTGCATAATTTATATGCTATCATTAAGATATATTTCCCTGATCTGTTAGTATAAACTTTATATGCGCCTTATTACTTTATAACTATAAATAGTAGTTCCATTTAGAGATTTCATCTCCAAGGAAATGAAGAATCAAGTTTGAGCAGTTAGCTAAATCATTATTCTCCAATGGACAACAGACCTCCTTTTCTTTCCTTTCTACCTGCTACCATCCCTGCTCATTGGCCCTTCTTATTTTGGGTTCCGCTTTTCTGGGCTATTAGATTTAAATTTTTCAGTAATTACTTTTCTTTACTACAGTACAGATAAAACAAATACCTATCTATGCTTTATACCCAGATATATACTTAGATGAAACAAATTATCCAGCTATATTAGCATACTACTACTATAGAAAGCAATTTAACAAATTAAACATGATCCATGATATTTTTCATGTAACTACTACTTTGTCCATACTTGATATTTTCTCTCTGGAGTACCATTATGAATTCATAGAATTTCAAAATATTTACATGTTTTAGTTAACCATAATTATTATCGATGCTTCAATTGTAACAACTGGGCCATGTCAAGCTAGTTCTTTTGTCTTGACCGTATCTTTGCTTTCTGGTTACAATAGGATGTTCCAGGCCCATCCTAATTTTTTTCCTTACATGGAATTAGGAAAGATACTTGAGTGCTGGTCCTAGATACAAGTTCACAATCTCTTATTTGCAATTCCCAAATTCAAAAAAACTAAAAAGTCAGCATTTTTTTTCATAAGTCATTTGGCAGCAAAATTTGACTGTATTAGTTTCCTGTGGCTGCTGTAACAAATTACCACAAACTTGGTGGTTTAAAACAACAGAAATTTGACAGGTTGCAGAAGATGGTGGACCAGGTAAAAGCAGGGTTCGTCTCCTCCCAGGACCACATTGAAATTACAACCAAATTATAAAATAACGTGAAAGATCACCTGAAGTCCAGCTGATCATAATACCTACATCTGATAATATAAACGAGTCACATCGAAGCTGGTAGGAGGGGCAAAGTCCCGAATCAGGCTGGACCTGCACCCACAGGTGGTGGAGGATCACCAGGAGGAAGAGCGAGGCTGCAGAGGCTCTCCTAGAGGGAAGAGAGTTCTTGGTCACATCTGGGGTTCCCCAGCCCAGGGAAGAGGAGATTCCAACAACTCTGACTGTAGAAACTAGAGGGGATTCTGGCCGTCTGGGCGAGACGGAAGGTGACGGAGCCCCTAGACGTCCCTTTGAAGGACTCACAAAGGCTTTCTGACTTGCGGACACTCACCCAGGACATCGGCGGTGGGTCTGAGGCTTGCATGGGATACATTCTGAAAAACTCTCCATTACCTGGCGTCAGAACGAGAGCTGGAAAGGCAGCCACCATTTGCCTTAGTCTGGCCCCACTACAGACCACACCAGTTTGATTGTGCAGACCCCTTCCACAGAGTCATTAGGAGACGCTGGTCTGAGGGGATCAGCCCATCCAGCTTAACCCGCAGACTGCCAGGAGCAGTTCTTTATGGTTGGCTGCCATGCCCTGAGCTAAGTGATTCAGAGTGAAGTATTCACAGTGGGGCAGCCATTATTGTGAGCAGCGTTTCTAATCCCAGCAACGCAGGCCAGTGCTGTGAGCCCCATTTCAGAGATAAGGTCAGGCAGATCGCTGTTGCCAACATGAACTTGGGCAGATATCCGGGACTAGTGGGTCAGTCCCAGATAGCAGTTGATCTTGCTGTGATCTGGGTCATCTGCGGGAACTTAAAATAGTTACCAAATTTCCAGCAAGACTGAGGCTGTTTTGATCTGACAGCCACTGTCTCTCTGAGACCCCGCCCCACCCAACCTGCAGACTGCCCAGGTATTATTGACTTGCTGCCAAACTCAGCTCCAAGTGATTCAGGACCAAGTGTTCACAGCGGGGCGGCCATCATTGTAAGTGGCCTTTCCCATTGCAGCAAAAGTGGCCAGCCCTATAAGCTACATTTCCATTCCCTGCAGGCGACCAGTGCTGTGAGCCGCACTTCATTGTAGGCAAATCGCTGCTGCCATCACAAACTTGGGCAGATACCGAGGGTCTGTGGGCCAGTCTCAGACAGCAGCTGGTCTTGCTATGACCTGGGTCTTATGTGGGAACTCAGAACAGTTACCAAATTTGCAGAAAGACTAAGGCTGTATTGATCTGACTACCACTGTCTCTCTGAGGCCCCGCCCACCCAACCTGCAGACTGCCTAGGGCACTGGTATTGGCTTGCTGCCAAGCTCAGCTCCAAGTGATTCAGGACCAAGTGTTCACAGCTAGGTGGCCATCGTTGTGAGTGGCCTTTCCAATTGCAGCAAAAGGGACCAGCCCTGTAAGCTACATTTCAATTCCCAGAGCAGGCAACCAGTGCTATGAGCCACATTTCAACGGAAAACATGGCTGAGTTGAGAGACATCCTTGAAACAACAATAAGCTGAACATCTAAAACACAAGAGAAAATACCCAAACTGCACACTAGCACGTCTGAGCGTGGGATCTGCACATAAGAGCTACCACAGGTACTTTAAGGCATTATATAAAGCAGGGATTCAAGAGGCTTAGACACCACACTGGAAACCAAAAGAAGAGCGCCTTCTTTGAAACAGACTACAGACAGATCTTTATATAATAAACCTTCTTTCTGGAAAACAGCATATACACTTCCAAAATTGCCCAGGTGGAGAAATAGTCCATTAAACACCATGAACAACCAAGGTGACAAGGTAT